TATGGTAATCGCATTATCTTTGGCATTTTTCAGAGATTTGTTTAGTGACAGGGTGATGGTAACAAAGTGCCCAAAGATACGATTTAAAATGAGATCTTCGCTAAGATGTTAGATGTAGAGACAAGACTGGTTCCTTCCTTAAGTTACATTTCTGGTTGAATTATTCGTGTTAAGTGGCTTGACCAAAAAAAAAATTTTCAAAGCCAATATTTTGTTGGCTCAAAACATTTGCAGTGTTAAATAAACTTCCATTTGGAATATCACACAAAAATCGAGCTGAATGTTTATAATGAAACACTGTTCATGAAACAAAGTCTGATAACTTTAATGTAGAGACAAGAAAAAACAAAAAACACCAAAACCCAACACCATCAAACATTAGCATCACCAGCATTTTGTCACCGACACAACAAACAGAAATGTGGAAACAAAAAACAAATATGTATATATGGCAGTTCAAGACAGCAGTGAATAGCGTATTTACACTCACATGTAACCATATGTGGCAGTCAATGAGTTTATAGGATCAAGAGCAAATATATGTCCAGTCAAACTGTTGATCAGACCGGTGTTTTTCCAGTCAAAACCAGGTTTGTTCTGAAGTAGTATACCACCGTAACACTTTGTTCAAAAATTAATTATACATGAATTAAACATGTTACGTATCTGTGTCAGTATCTATCACCATGTTAAATAATTATGTTTATTTTTTTAAATAATCTTAAATTGGTCATTTCCAAGTGTTTTTTGATGTTCAGATTGCGCAGCACTTATCTGAGTTCTAAACTTTGATCTTATTATTCATTTAGATTGTTGAAGGAATGAATTAGAATTAAGTCAATCCTTGATAAGCAAAGGCTCAGATTTCTTTGATCCACCTTGTAGATAAGAGTATGGAAATAGTTTCTCCGTGAAAGACTCTCCTGTGAAAGAGTAAATATGCAAGTTCTCATTCACGTCAAAAAATGAGACTCTGCTTTCTTCGTAGTCCAGGTACACTCCTATTAACCTTGGCCTAGGGCAAAGGTAGAGAACTGTGTAGGGTGTGGAGTGAACTTTATAGTCCAAAAACCTTTTTCCTATGGCAAAGAATCCATTTTCTCTTTTCAAAAGACCCTTGCTGATCTGTTTACAGTTTCCTTGGCAACACCCACATCCCAGCCATTTCTCAGGCCCACTTGGACTTCCCAGTAGTGCCGGCCAGAGGTGAAGCCCTTCGTCCCAAACACCATGGGACAGTCAAACCTCCTAGAGTCATCAGACGAGGGGCTTGCTGCTCTGAAGTACTTCAGAC